AAAAGCTGTACCCAAACTCTCCCTCATGTGGCTTCACCAGTGTTTGTTGAGTTACCCAGGGGGATCAGTTTGCAACCCTCTAGAGGGATCTCAGAAGTTTGAGCTAAGCATGGGAATAGGTGAGATTTCCACAGCTGATGTGCACAGTTAAAATCTCCAGTTACACTCTGCACTGACACAGGTGAGGACAGGGCAGGTGCAGAGACAGCTGTCACTGACATCCCCACACAAATGCCTCTGGACCATTACACTCCCTGTGGCACTGATCCTTTGGCACATGTCACCTTTCTGAGGCAGGCTTTCTGCAGAGTCTCCAAAAGTCTAGTTATGGCCATCATCCTCAGTCTTCATGCACGGCACCTGCTTTGGGGTTGAGCTATTCAAAATTGGTTCAAAGACTTACAATAACAAAATGTAATGGGTTTAAAACACTTGTCTGGACTTGCTTCAGATGAGGAAACAGAATTTGCTTGTGCCATGTTGCCTTACAACTCTTTGACTTCCAAATGCAGAGCCACACCACCGTTTCTGTAGCTTCTGTAAGCTTCTCTACCACATTCAGTGGAAAAGCAGCCCCTTGTTGCCTTCATTCATCAGGCCACGTAAACCAGAGTGGACTGTAGAACCATAGGTCTTTGATCAAGGGTCACACCTACTTTCTCATTTTCTTTGAGTAGTTTTAGAGAGTTCTTTCTGTAAATTCTCCTGTATACAGATACACGTACAGTGCTTTACACAAATACAGGGAAGATTCCAAGGATGCTTGTTATCCTTTCATTGAAAAGCATCAGTCATGCAGATTGACACCACCTGAGGGGTTTGCCCATAGAGAATAGAGATTTATTTTGACAACAGTGCCTGTCAGGATTGAATAATATTAGGGCATACTTTTATTCCTTTTTTAAAAAAATATCTTTATGTTATGATATTTTCCTTATGCTCTAATACAGCTACATGCCATGGAAGATACTCAGTAGCATATTCTGTGAATAAGCCAGACTGGAGTACTTGCATGACCACAAATTGTACTGATTATATTGTTCTGCCATCTCTAGACAGAGAAAAATTATTATACAAGTTCTACTGATGCTGATACCATGTTTATGAGACAATAAAAGTTGGCTCTTCTGAAGGCTAAGTAAAAAAAAAAAAGTAAATATGAATACAGGACTCCAACTGAAGAGGAGAGAGCTCACATGAATGGCCCTGGATATGACACTCAGTGGTAGTGGGTGACCAGGTTCTTGAAAGAAGTTGAGTTTTTTAAACAAAGTTATTGTAGTCAGTGAAAATCACCAGTTGAAAAGTGATTTTGTGGGATCCAGGAAACTCTTGGGTGAAATAACATTTTGTTTCTGTGTCAAAAAAGTCATTTCCCTAAAAATATCTCAAAGTCAAATAAGCAGATGATCGGATTCATTCTACTCCTTCTGTCACCTAACCCAACTAGCATGAACAAATTTTTTCATTTATCAAAACAGCTTCTCCTTCCCAATTACTGTGATCTGTATCAAAGATTACTGCCATATCTGCTTTCTTTTACCTTTATTCTAGTTATTGCATTGCCAATAGGTGCTGTATACACAGTGGAGGGCAGTTTTTCTGCTGAGAACCTATGTTCAAACAGACATGACAGCTGTCTGGCAGGAGAGGCAAAGAGCTGTCCCTTCCCTGCCAGCCTGAGCAAGCAAAGCCAGAGGGAAGCCCCACAGACCCAGAGCAGGGTCTGTGCTCTCCCTTGGTGCTGGTCACAACACTGGCCATTAACCATATGGCAAAACTCTTCATGTTAGAAAATCATCAGCAGTGGATTAGAATAAAGAATCATTTTTTGAGCAGACCCGGAATTCTGTCTGCTTTTGAGGAGTTCTGGCCTCAAAGAGGAACATGAATATATGAAACAGTTGCATGTTTACATTTTTAGCTTTCATGCTGTAAAAACCTGACATGCGTAGTCTGCTTTTTTATTTGGTGAGAATTGCTGTAATATTTGAGTCTGCAGTGGTGTATTGAAAACAGACCCCTGACTAGGAAATAGAGAGTTTAGATGTTATAAACTGCTAGTAATTTATTATTTTAGATTGGCATATATTTTGGCAAAGTTTAAGTTGGCTGGAGTGATAGTGAGTGATGAAAGATGTTATGGCGGTTGAGAAGTGGCTGAATTCCTTTGTTTCCAGACTTTTCACTTTTTTTTAAGGCGCAGAATGTTTATATAGAAAGTGTAATATTGTTTTATGAGTATTTGCTGGACCCTGCTAAAACCAAGCACTCAAGCTTTACTCTTTTAACAAAGTGTTTTGTTATGGAATTCCTCTGGGTTTTGATGTTTCTAAATTAGGGTTAAACCAGGTTGGTATGTGGGGGCCATGGGAGAACAGGCCAGAAGTGACAAACTGTCTGATGTCTAGCAGGGTGTGCTTCCACTCCAGGAGGTGATGTGGTGGCAGGAAAAGAGGACTCCTCAACTGGGCATGAAGGAGCCATAACATAAGGGCACAAAAAGGGGAAAGAGGGGATTTTAAACACTGGGAAAGCTGTCAGCATTTTAAGAGTTGGACATTTTCAGTGCAAGACTGTGCCTGCCCCACGGCTGCTATTTGGTCCACCAGAACCTGCATGCTTCCTATGTTTTATTTCCATCGTCTGGAGCAGGAGCACTTTCAGTCCCATGGTTACAAATTATCATTCTTCCTTCCCAGTCATCTCTATTTTTCCCTCCAAGACTGTGGTACTTGATGAGCCATGATACACTCAGGAAACAAATTCTTGTTTCTGATATTTCTCTGCCCATTTCCTCTGCATTTATCTCCTCCAAGTCGGCTGCTCATAAAACTCATTGGCTTTCTGCCTTCAGCTTGGCTCACTAAACCCTGGAGTCAGTCTCCAGGCTCTTTGTTTTTACAATAAAGGACAGAGCTCTGAGCCACAGCATCCTGGGATGTTGTAGCAGCAGAGAGAAAACCTTTAAACCATTAAGAAACAGAAGCTGCTAAACTCAGTGTTTCATTGCTGAGAGCATCAGGGCTTCCTTCAAGCTGAGTACAAGGAAAAAGAGCAGAGTTTCTACTAATTTACAAATCTTACTAGGAACAAGAGGCAGTTTTCTGATTGTATCATGCAGTCTATGTTGTAATAACTTTCCAAGTCTGTATTCTCCCATTTAATACTCCACTTTAATGAAGACCTCACATTGCTACTCTGCTCCTAGTTGCTCACATTATAATCTTTGTAAACCTCTCCCAAGTAGCACTGCGCACTTCCAGTTCTCAAAAGACATGCAAAGGCTATCCTTCCTGTCCTAGCAATGCTAGAGAGCCAAAAAGCCAGTAAGGAAAAGCAAAATTAAAGAGCTTGTTTCAAACAGATTTAAGAACAAGGCATATAAACCCTCATCCCTATTAAAATAAAAGACCAAAGTGCCGGTGGCTTCAACACGCCTTATACCTTCCAACTATACAATTTTTAATTTTTTTTCAAACTATTAAACATATGTATAGATTTAGCTTAGCACTGAGAGGCCTCAGCTGGAATACTTTTCACAGTTTTGGGCACTGTGCTTCAAAAAAGATGTGAACCAACTGGAGAGAATCCAGATGAGAGCAACAAGAATGATCAAAGATCCAGAAAATGTGATGTATGAGGAAAGACCAAAAGAATTGGGTTTGTTTAGACTAGAGAAGAACAGTCTGAGGGGAGACATGACAACAGTCTTCAGACACGTTAGACTGCTGCAAAAGGGAAGATAAACTGTTCTCAATTTCTACTGGAAGTAGGCTAAAAAGCAACAGATTACAATGGAGATTCAGATTAGACTTTTGAAGAAACTTTTTTTTTTTTTGTTACAGCAGTTATACCTGAGAAGACAATGCCCATGAAAACTGTGGGACCCCACTGGTTGAGATTGGGGTACTGGTATACTCTGGTCTGCATGAATAAGACTGCTCCTAGTCCTTTTCAGCTATTTCCCCCATGTTAGAAGTGTAGGAGAGAGATTGCAAGTGAAAAAAAAAAAACCAAACAATTAATATTTTCTGAAGGAATATGGACAGGTCTGACCTGAGTGGTCTTTGAACAGGAGATTAATTGCAGCTATACCTACAGAGTTAGTATTACTACCTTGTAGCCATTATACAGTGTTTGTAACTATCACACTCAGGAAAACAGGGAAAAATAAAATTCTGATCCTTATCTGCTCTAAAGCCTCTACTTATGCTGGACACTATTCTGGCAGTGGAGGCCTGTGTCAAAAATCTTGAGTGTAAATAAGCATAAAATCCTAAATGTTGTAAAACACACCATCCAGTGATAGATTTCTATGAACTCTGTTATATAGAAAGATTTAATACAGAAAGGAACCCAAACATGTGACACTTTGTCAGAAAGCAAAAGATTACATAGTACAACATGTTTTTTGGAATGAATTTACAATTAATTTTAACTATAAAATAGAGTGAAAAAAACAGGTGAAACTAAGACAAATGCAGGGTGAATTGAAACAAAGTGCCTGACTGGTAATTCCAGAGATAATTGGGAATGCAAACTGGGACTCCTGAGGTCCCTTGTTTCAATAGGTGGGTTTTTTGTTTCTGTTTCTGCTTGTTTTTCTGCTTTTCATTTATAATGAAAAAAAAAAATTAAAAAAGGCAAGATTGCAAAAGCCAGCTTTTTCCTCAGTTTTTTTGGTGCTTTCTGCTAAGCAGCCTTGGAGCTACAAAGGTTCACAGTCTTTCACATAGACTCATGCCCTAGAAGTGTTTACAGTGAGAAGAAGGATCCTTAAAATACATGGCCACACAGACAATCATATGGGATCTTCAGATGTTTGCATCCTGGTTGGGACTGTGCATGAAGAGGCCTCTAGACACACATAGGTCACCAGCTCTGTGGAAATGGTGATTTGGTCCGGAGCTTCTATAGTACTGGCTTTTGAGGAGAGAGTTGTGCAGAGGAGGAACTGTCTCTTCTGGCTTAATGTTTCCAGGGCACAGACTGGAGGTTTAGAAGGAGTACTGTGATACAAATATCCTCAGCCGGATGACAGAGCTGCCTCTGAAGTTGATGACGGTGTTTACAGTGATCATTTCCAAGTCCAGCTCGATCGTGCGTGGCCCCTTCACGGGCCGGGTCATCACCAGAGTAGCACTGATGGGTCCTGTTTGCTGTGCATGAAACAAGAGAAAGCAGGTGAGATTGCCAAAACTAGTTCTTCAAAGCCATTTTCTTACTAGTCTTCAAGCAGCTAAAATAGGCGTTTTCTGTTTCATTCTTTGACACCACTGCAACTGATGGGACAGAGTTTCATTTCAGCATTTGGCTTCTTTGCAGTGTGAACTGTCACCTTCTACAGTTTGTAAAGCCTTTGGGAACTCTGCACATTAAAGGAGCTATTGAACACAGACACTTGCTATTGCTCAAGAAAGAAAAAATTGAAAACATGGGTTTAGGGTATAAACAAGTAATTATACATTTTTGTTTGTTTGTTTGAACTGGTTTTTAGTTTGATGTAAAGTTACTGTGAAGCAGCAGACACCCAGAAGGGCTTGTGTTAAAGGACCTGGAGAACAGGTGTTCCCGTGTGAATGGGGTCTGATTTTGTGGTACATTGTGTAGGTTAATTGTACAAACCTTACACTTTGAATATGCAATGGCACTTCAGAAAACAAGTCCTTTATTAAATGGAAGCAGACCTTGGTGATATCTGACCAGAACAATGGATTATGTGCATTTAAAAATCAGATCTGCTGATGTTTAAACCAACTGCAGTTTGTTTTCCATCAGGAGCTTACATAGGCACAGTGGGTCCTGCTTTAGCTGTCCAGTTCTGCCTCAAGACTGGGTGTTTGTTACCTTTGATCAGAGAAGGCTGACACAGCCATGAGGAGTGCTGGGCATGTTGCCTGGTCTGTGCCAGGCTGGGTCCTGGTGCCTCAGCAAGGGCACAGTGTCCCTCCCATGCCCTCCCAGTGCCCAGGGAATGGCTGCGTGGGGAATCACTGGAACAGCAGCTCGGGAAATGGAGGTGGGTGCTGGGGCCTCAGCACCTGCTGGATTGGCCCAGGTGAGGGGATCAGTGGTGACTTTGCAACAGGAAAGTTCTTGTGAGATGTAGCGGAACTGCTTGTCAATTCAGGATTTTGAAACATTTTCATTTTCTTACAGTGGGAATCTGAGATTCTTGTGAGAAATATGTCCTGGAATCTATCCCACTACCCCTGTCCATGAGGGATGGGAACCTTCAGTAGCCACAGAACAGGACTTAATGTGAATGTCAGAGCCAGGTTTTGCCTGGGGCTGAAAATCAACCTCCTGAGAGTCACCATCCTTGTGGATGTGCCCCATTCTCTGCAGACACCCCTGTAATCTCTGCATGTTGGTGGTGTGGCAAAGATGACTGGGGAACACAGAGATCTTCTGAGGAAAACAAATTAAAAAACCTCAGGTAATTACATTTTCTCTAACAGTGTCTACAAAAAATGAATGTTCTCAGTGGAAAAAAATCATAACAAATGAAAGCGAAGAACCCAGAATTTAAATTTTTGGCAAAAAGGGGTAGGGTAAGTTTTTTGCTTACTTTTTTGGTTTTCACATTTTTCAATTTCCAATGAAAAGGTTTAATAAAACAGACAAGAAGCATTGAGTCTTTGGGTTACACTTTTGATTGTCCATCAAATAAAAAACAGTTTGGCACAATAGTTTCTCTTGAGCTTGGGAAACCTGAGCTATTCTTAGACATGGGTACAGCTGTGGGCTTTCCTAAACCTGCTGTCTCATAGGAGAGGCATGTTTGCTTTGGGTAGGCTACTCTCCTGAGAGATCCAGCAATTCCTGCAGATCAGCACACTGCTGTGCACATCTGTGTGTAAAAAGAATGCCTCATACTGAAGGTTTAAGTGACAGTCACAAGAAGCTCAGTTGTGCCATCAGGACGTTCAGCCAACAACAAGATGCTCCATGTTTCCCCCAGGGAGCACTGGACTTACCCGCATGTAGAATTCCCTGCCCTCGTTCCCTGATTTGATTTGGAAGATGTAGTAGGCTCCAGGGTAGCGAGTTGTTGCTTGCATCTGAAAAATATCCGAAGGCACAGACCTCCCAGACACCATATCCATCACTCTGTACAGGATGGTGAAGGGCTGATCTCGGCACCCAGGGTTTTCAGCTGGACACATGCAGCGGCTGGTTGTCAGAAAGAGGATGGTCAGAGATAGAATTGTCAGCAGGGGTTACAAATTGCTGTAATATTTGATTATTTATATAAATGAATGTGCATAAATAAATAAATACATAATGCCGTTGGCCAGCTAAAAGAATCAATGAAACTTGTAATGCATTTTCTCACTTTTAGCATTTTCTGTATTGATGTTCTGGCTTATATCCTGCCTCTTTTTTCTTGTCTTCTTGGTGAAAATACCTTGGCATTCTCCTTAGATCACTCAAAAATGTGAACTTTCTTTGAAGTAGCCCTGCAAGTGTAGAATACTCTGTACATGTTTATTCTGATAGTAATTTTTATTGAACTGTCCCCAGAATATTATTAGATAATTTCACTGGTAGTACTACATAAACAGTAGTGATTTTTGTTTCACTATATTTTGTACACTACATGGAAACATATAGTTGACATCCTGGATCAAACCAAAGCTCTAACATCAAATGCAGAGCCTTAAGGAAGAAGAAGAAGATAGCAAGCCAAGCATGCGACACTTCCACCAACAGTCTCCAATTGTTTGTGACTCAGGGAATCCTTGAAACAAAAATTTCTTTCTATTCATCAGCTATTAATGCATTTCTTATCCATCAGCTTTTCCAGCTTCCCACATGAATGTTTGGCATCCACAGCCCCCTGTGGCCAGAAGCCCCACAGACCCTTTCATCTCTCTTTGCATGGCCTCTTTCTGACTTTATCTGGTGCTCCCAGCTGTCTACCTGAAAGGAGAGCAGCCAGTCAATCCCTGCTCATCCTCCTCACCCATCTCAGGGCTTCATATTTGACCCTGTTCATGGCTGAAGTGCTCTAATTTGGCTGTTACTCACAAGGAAGCTATTCATACTTGTGATCATCCTAATTGCTTCTTATGAACCTTTATCCAGTTGTATTTCTTTTGACAGGAGGGGAAGGAACTGCACAGTCTTAAAGATTTGGTACACAATAGCTTATGCTCCAAGGATATTCTCTACCTATTAAACTTTGGAATTCAGATTGCTTTTCTGACCTCTAGTGAGTACTGCAGATCATGGAACTAGACCACTCAAATCTCAGTTTGCATCAATTATGATCAGATCAGTGATCCTTATTTAATTTGTGAATTTGTGATTTTCTTTTTACTTTAAATTCATCTAAACCAAATTTCATCTGCCATTTTTATTGCACAGTCATTGAGGCTTATTCTGTAGTATTTTTCTACCCGCTTTTATCTACTGTCTTCAGATATTGTTCCAGACTTTGCCCATCTCATGGTTTATTCTTTTCCCCAGGTTGCTTATGATGGACCAAGTAGGTCCAGCTCAGACCTCTGCAGAAATTCAGCATGAAAATTGACAATTTAATACTATCCACTGTTCAATTTTTATCTTTCAGCTTCTTATTTTTCTGTTTCAGGGACTTTTCTCTGTTACTTATGGACATGACTGCTTCATGTCCATGATAACTGTGTGAGGGTCTTTTCAGAAGCCTTTGGAAATGCAAACAGACTGCATCAGTCCCTGTGCCCTAGCCACATGCTGCTGATTTCTTCAGAGAACTCTAAGGAAGTTGTAAAGCAGGATATCCCTTTATAAAAGCCATGTTGGGGGAATTTGTTGGGCAAGGGTCTTTTTGACTATTTTTCTATAACCTTCACTGCTGACATCAATTTCAGACAGTGCATCTGGCATGTCCCCCATCAAGAGGCTCCTGGCATTATGATCACCCAATTCCTTCCACAGAAAACACAGATGCAAGGAATTCACTTGGCTTTTATCTGACCACTTCTGGACATATGTCACTAATTAAGTGCAGGCCCATCTAGACATGAGCCAAAGCCACCAAACACAAAGCTCAGAGATTGTGTTCTGATGCAAGCTGCTCTGCAAGGACTCTGTAGCTGGGCTCTGGGGAATTTAGATGCAGATGATTCAGTTATTTCAAATTCCAGTCTAAGACTCTATCACCAATGTAGGAAAACCTAGAACTAGACAGACACTATGTGTCCACTCTTCAGCTGCCCTAGTTCAGAAAACAATGCAAATACACTCATAAATTCTAAAGGAAAGAAGCTAATTACTAATCTTTTGCCTTTCTATAAAATATATTCAGCTACCAAGCAATTCCAGATTATTGGGTTTAGTGCAAACATTGTGGATGAAATAATGTGGACTGCAGTATATTGAGATCTGTCTGGAACTGAAATATTTTGAGCCCCAGCAAATACATACAAATGTAAAAGAAACAGGATGTTTTAAGAAAGGTAGGGTTTATTGTTTGCTTGCTCAAATGTTTCCCAGTTGAGACAGTGACAGCACTAACAGCCTCATCCAGACATACCCAATTTCTGGGCCAGGTGGGTCAGTCTGTGAACTATTCAGAACTTTTAACCTGTAAGCAATAAGAAACTATTTGTATGCTGCTCTAACTGTCATCTAATATTTTAAAGCACTTCCCAGGCATAAACTAGTTACCATTTGCAGGAAATATTCCTACTAATAAACAGGCTGCATTTGAGCATATATGAAGTCAGATATGTAAGTAAATGTATCTTACTACATCACAAGCCTTGCTGTTTTGTCAACTGATAGCTGTTTTTCCAGTCTAACTTTACATACATCTGAGTATGATATATCATAATAAATCATAGCATATCATACCTGGTGACCTGGTAAGCAATTGCAATTTATTATTTTTATAAAGCTTACCAGTGGTAAATTTATCAACAGTATGTATGTATAGCTGTTTAGACAGACTTCATGGTTGTACTGTAAAATTGCAGCTTCTTTGGTTAGATAGAACTTAGATACAACTTTCACAGACAGAATTTGCTTTTGTGGCTGTGGGTATGTTACTCACTTCTCATTAATCTGGAGATAAGGCTCCTCACATCGTACTGGGTCTAAACATTTATATTCTCCTGGGATATTGAAACAGGTTTGCTGTGAAGTGCAGGTGAAGTTTCTGATTTCACATTCATTGATATCTAAAACACAAGGAATGAGAGAATGGCTGAAGCAGGGAAATATGTACAAGATACCACTCCTACAAACTGGTTTCCATCTTAAAGAATTACCCCAAAATTCATAAAACTCTTGCACTGTGAGAGGTGGACTTTTTATAACTGCCCCCCTCTTTTAAGATCAGTTTTTACTCTGTCCACTTCTGCTAATTAGAGTGTTCCCACATGCAGAATGCTGAAAAAAAAAAGGGAAAGGAATTGGCTGCTCAAACTCTCCGACCTTAGAGAATGGGAAAAGTAGAGATGTACAGCAGAGGGGAGAGCATTTGAGGTCTTTCCTGTGTAGCTGCTTCCTATCCAATAAAGTCTTACTTAAAACAACACACCAGTTCACCTCAGCAGGAATATCTGCATAATTGGCCCCTACGAGTATTTCACTGTGCAATGCCAAGACCAGGCATCTCAATTCTTGAAAACCTCTTTCTAGACACAGGATCTACATTCTGGTCCCCGTGGGTTTCAGTCAGTGCAGGAATGTTACCTTGGCAGCTTCTACTGTCGTCAAGCAAGTTATATCCTGAAGGACAGGTACAGTAGTAAGAACCAGGCCCATTCACACATTCGTGCTGGCAGAGGAACTCCGAGAAGCTGCACTCATCCATGTCTGCAGTGGCAAAACAAAAACCAAAGTTTACTGTCTTTGGCTTTACTGTCAAAAGAGCAGTCCTGCAGGCAGGTGGCCACCCACAGTACCTGCCCATTCCCTCAGCTGGAGGCTGGCACTCTCCAGCTCCCTAGAGCTCTGCAGCGAGCTGACAAAATGCTATACAACAACTTCTTCATTAAACACTTTTTCCTAAGGAAATCAAAGCTGCTGCTGAACACAATGTATGGCTTTTAATTATTTATTTTTCTTTTCTAATACCTGTCACCTCTTGGCCACGTTTTCATTTCTGTTTTACGTCAGAGATAGATACTCTGACAACAAAGCTGCAACTGTAATTTAAAAGGAAAGACTTGGCAGCAGTTTTGTTTTATTTTTTTTTCCTTCTTTTGGAGAACAAGCTTTACGTTCCCAGGGTTCCAGCCACATGGGTTCCAGCAGAACTCCTGCAGCCAGCCCTGTCTCTTTCATATTTTTTAGCCTCTAGTCAGTTACTTCCAAGTCATTCCAGCAAGACTCCAAGAGCACATCCCAGCCTGGGTCAGACACACTGGAAGGCCCAGCCTTACAGATACATGGGAAGCCAGGCAGTCTGTCAAATCCTGATTGAAAGCAGAAACTGTGCTCTTTGCCCCTTGCTCTCGTGAATTGACCAGTCATTGTGTTCTGCAGAGCTGTGCTCAAGTGAGAAAGATGAACTTCAGAGCTGCACATGGAGCCATGGCTGACTGAGGGGAAAACACATGCAAAGGCACGAGGCTGAGGGAGGCTGCCACTAATCATTTCCTTATTTCCCTGTTCAGGGGAAGAAAGAAACAAAGGCCAGAGCCCCAGCCAGGAACTCCCAAGTTCTTATTCCCAGCTCTGACATGTTGACTCTCCCAGGCAAATCACTTTTACTCTTCAGACTGAATTTCTCTTTCTTCTAAATTGGGCTCAGTCCATTTATTCACTTCTGGTGTTTTGTGCAAATGGATTGGAAAGTATTTGAAGTCCAAATATATCCAAGTGGCTTTAGGGCTGAAATGAGATTCTCAAAAGGGAGATGAAAGGAACTCTACACCTACAGAGTCCTGTTACTCTGTGAGTTTCCCCAATGAGTTCACGGAAACAAACACCTTCCTGAAGTTCCAGAGACTGAGGGCTGACTCCATAAAGTGGCTGAGCTATCAGCCACCCTCTGGCATCCTAGCCCAGACCTCCACTATCCTGGATTTGTTTAACTGGTGCTTGGCTGCTGTCAGGTCCTGAGGGATTTGGAGCCCCAAGAGCCCTGCATTCCTGCTCTTGGGCCCACAGTGTTCCTAAATACTCCTGGCATTCTCCTGGCTGCCTGTGTGCAGACAACAGGGTGGTTGTCATTTCAGAGCACATCTAATGCACTTGGAAGACCTCTGTGATTAGAAAATAATGATGATATTGGGAAAGCCAGGTTGAAATCTCTGCCTCTCTCCTTGAATTGGGGCAAGAATGCCTTCCAGCTTCAAGGTAAGTTGGCTGCTAGGCCATGGACTAACCCCACTCCTATTGAAATAAATCTGAATCCTGAGTGTCTCTCAAGAGCGTGCCCCGACCAGGCATTCCCTTTGTGAGCCTCAGATGTCTAGTGGTTGCTGTGGAGTGGAAGAAGCTCATCCAGAGAAACTTGACCTGCTTTGTCAAACATCTCTTGCACAAGATTGTCAGGAAAAGATTTTCTGCTCTGGATCTGGATGTTGAAAGATCCTTTTGCTGGCTCAGCTCTGAGACATGGATAAGGCTCAAGCACCACCTTATTGGCCATTGCAATGAGCTTATCTGGTTCAGACCCCCAGGTAGCTCAGGAGGTGAACACATACAAAACATTCAGGAGTCTAACTGAGAAGAAGAAAATCCATCAGAATGCAGGACACTAAGTTAGGTGTTTAATTCTTAAGACCCTTTACATATTTAATATTTGTTCTTCCCCTTATAACAAGGAGATTTGCAGGGAAAATATCTTGGGAAAGACTAATCATATACACTGCATCTCACATGTCTTTTCTCTCAGAAACAGCATATTACATCTGTTTACTGTAAATTAAAACTCAAGTATTTTCCAGTGCATTTTTCCAAGACATATTGTCTGAATTTTCTAATTTTATCAGGCTGATGGTACAATAAGCAAAGAAATAAGTTTTGCCTTCAATTAAAATAAAATAATACAATAAAAACAAAATCCAGAAAGGAGAAATTACAGTGACATAAGCACAATTTATTCTGCTGTGTGCTGAACAGGTCAGCAATAACTGTACTAAGAAATTATATATTGTTTTTAAAGTGAAGCCAGAGCCATACAGGGGAAACGGGGGAAAGTTTCAGGCAGAAGTGAGCAGTCCTTAAGAGCAAGGGAAGTACATGCATTCAACAGACAAATGGAAAAGTGCTTTCTATAAACTATTTCTTTAATCATGGAGGAATGTCCTCAGGCTATCTCTACTTGCTCTAATAAAGCTTGCTGTTCAGCATTACAGAGTGCTTTCTTCTGTTTTGCTGTTACCTTGGAGCTTTTGAATATTTAGCTTATTTCTTTAAAACCATTTGTGGCCCTCCTCCATGGAGTTTTCCTGGGTATTTGCTGAGTGCTTTAGCTGGAAAGAAGATCATATGAGTTGCAGCTATCCCGATGCTACCATGGACCAAGGCAAAAAACTTTTTAAAAAGTTTGTAAAAACAATGCCTTTGAAAAAGTACACTTAATAGAATTAAAGAAACCAAAAGAGTAAAAGAGTAAATAAGAGAGTTACCACTGCAGTTAACTCCATCAGCTTCCAGTTCATAGCCAGGTTCACAGCGGCAGAGAAAAGAGCCATAGGTGTTGACACAGGTCTGAGTGCAAGGGTTTTCACTTGTACATTCATTCACATCTATGGGAAAACAATGCCAAATTCATCAGCGACTTCTCCCCAAACACCATTTTCTTTTTTTTTCTGCAGAGCATTTCAAAGAGATTAGCTGTACAGTCAGAAAGATTTGTTCTGAAAAAATATAACCAATTCAGTGTTGTTTATTTGGATCCAGGTTGATGCCTGGGAAGAGCATGTTGGAAACAACATGTGTGGAAGTGAAGCATTTTGGGAATTACTTCAATTAAAAAATAACATGGAAGATGGGGATGAATTTTTTATTATAAATGTTTCTGTCCTTATCCTGAAATTTGAAAACCATTGAACCAATATTGTCATAACAGATCTGAGAAAAATGCAGCAGGATTTTCCTGAGAAAGATAATGCAATGATGAGGGGTCTTTATGGAAACCTTGGGCTAAGGCAAAAGCAATATTTTTTTCCTTGTAGGACATTAACAACTTCATCATGAGCACAGACCTCCTCCTGCAGCATGTGGGAAGATGCTCTCTGCTTTGCTAGGGCGACTGTGAAGAGGTTGTGTTGATTTTGAGGTAGCACATCACAGCAAAAGGTGATCTAATGCTTAGAACTCCAGTCTGGAACCTTGGAGACTCTGATTTACTGATCTGACAAAGGTTTCTTGTCTCAGTTGGGTCACACAACCTCACATTTTAATAACAAATTCAGTGCCTGAACACTTGGTAATTCCACTGAATTGAGTAAATTGAGGTTTTGGCCTCTGTGCATATTTCTTCTGACACAGCAGTCCTGTTGCACCTGCACCCCTTTGAGGTACTGTGAAGCTCCAGAAATATCTGTCTGACCAACCTGTGAACATTTTCAAAAGCAACACTGGGAAGGTCACTTGTGCTCTAAAAACCAAGGAAGTCTTAAGGGGTTGGCTGAGGGGGGACCAAAGATTTCAGGCCTGGTTCACCCTAGCCCTACCTTGGCAGGATCTCCCGTCGTCGTTGAGCGTGAAGCCGGGGTTGCAGGTGCAGGAGTAGGAGCCGGGCACGTTGGCGCACAGCTGCTGGCAGTAGCCGTAGCGACATTCGTCTATGTCTGCAGGGGAAAAGGAGGGAAACTGGAGCGCTCTGCATCTCCTCATGACATACAAAGCAGCCAGCACACTGAGCCAACAGCGCTGATAACACAGAAATACCCCAGCACACTGGTCATGGTGTCACAGCCAAACTTCCAGGCGTTCAGACATGGAGTTGGAGTTGAAATATTCCTCTCCCCAGCAGAATGTGGTAATGTGGTGTTATCTACATCTGGCATCTACCAGTGTGTCTGATGAATTGATTGGCATTGCTGTAACCTTCAGGTTAAATCAGGCAGCCCAGTTTGTTCCTTCAAGCAGCTCCCTCAAAGGATACCTGACAGCTGGCACAGGCTGCCAGCACAACCACAGCCAACATTGCAGCGAAATTTTGGCAGAATCAAAATAGAAACCTTCTTTGCCTCCACATATACCAAAGCTCCTCACTGGAACAGCAGTGTTTGTTACTACAGGCTTCTTTTTTGAGTGAGGATATTTTTTAAAGATTTTTTTTCAAATAGTCACATTCTCTTTTTATATGAATTTTTAACTGACAAATTACAGACTGTATAAACAGTTAGTTTAATGCCAAAATAGCAGTTTGGGCTGAATTGCAGCATTGGCACTGCATGCAACTGAGTGCTATGAGCACAAGAAAATGCTCTAAGACATGTAAGATGGTAAATGCTGGAAGATTTTTGCCTCAGAACTTAAAACTAAAATGAAACACCTGGAATAGCTGTCCTTTCAAAGCCTTAACATTTCCTTTGGTATCAACCAGCTTTTGATTTATGGAGACTTTTTTAAATGGCTGTGTTAAAGCTTTGAAGCTAAATTTATGCAATAGAAAACCCAGTATATTATATGCAGTCAGTAAGATAATGTAAAGGTCAGATCAGTGGTGATGAGTACAGCAGCAGCAGGCTTCACCAAAACCTGCAAAAATAACATAGATTTTAAGTAAATTAATACCTCATTCACTGACACAATGCATTACATTAAGTACATGCTTTTTCTTTTCAGGACTGTTATCTCAAGAGTGCTACATTTGAGGATAAGGACTTCTACAGGGCTGCTTCTTGTGGCTGGGTCATGTGGATGTGCTGCACTGGCTTCTCTGTGTAAACTTTACAGGATAATTGCAACAGATAGAAGTGTAGGTTTTTGTAATGGTGATTTCCCAACAGTAATTGGTAATTTCACTGAATTCCACTGCACTGCTAACAGTGCCCCAAAAAAATTTTTCTCTAAACCCCAACTTGGCCCTCTGATTACAGTAAGTATTGCTTTACTGCTTTATGGCAGCAAAGATCACTTCTCCAAAGCCAGTATAAAGTATGGAAAACTGAGACTTTGAAATTTAGGGGAAAATATAGCAATTCTAAACACAATTTGCTTTTCCTTTTTCACATTGTCTTGCAATAATCCACCCCATGATTACTCAATTAGGGCAATACTGGGATGTTATTCCCTATTTTAGATAGCATAAGCAGGTACTCAAATCAATTCATCAATGCAGCCATTTCAGTTCTCTGCTATAACCATCAAGCAGAAGAGTATTTTAGATCTGTGCTCAAATCCTGAATGCTGCACCCAACCATTTCATTTGGCCTCTAATTGGGAGAAGTAAATGGGTAACAGAACAGGTGATGCAGAGCAGAATCTGCCTTTCTTCCCTCCCTCATCCCCATGCTATCACATATGCCTGTACATTCCCCAGCACAAGCTTTGAGAATTTGATTTATCACAGATTAAGGAGCAGGGGCCTTGGAGACTTTTTATCCCAGGGAAACTGCAAGACAGTGACTCCCTGAAGAGGCTGTGGCTGCACAGTCCCCAGCTTGGACAGAGCTCAGCCTGGTGCCTGCCAGGTGAATTACACAGCAGCAGTAAGGAAAGCAGCCAGGAATTCATGGAATTGGTACTTGGGAGGAGAAAGCTGGAAAATAACTGGAGATGCTCCAGGGACAAATGGGCAGGGAAAGCCCTTCTCCTTCCAGTGGAGATGTGACAGGATGCCCCAGCTCTGCAGAGCTGGCACCAAACAGCCTGCATGGCAGGGAAAAAAATAATAATGGATAAATTTTCTTAAAAAAAAAGTTGTATGATGACTCCTAGGTCCTACCTGTGGACCTAAAATTAATGTCTACATCATCATCCTGTGTGTATGTCAAGTGAGGGGAAAGGGCTGAAGGAGAGGAGGGATGGAAGGTTTGTTTTCCTGTGCTGTTTGTTGAGCAATGTTTTTTCAACAGGACTGAACTAAAAGGATGAACAGGACATTGCTGCAAGGAAAATAATAAAATTGGAATAAAACTGCATGGAAGATTGTGAAATGGCACCCAGTTCAGAGGTAATTTTTTTCTCACTCCCAAACAAAAGAATTGGTTGACTTGGGAGTTACTGTCATTCCCATTTCTTGGTATCAAACACGGATCCCTTCAGGTCCACACTGTCACAATAACAAAAGCACAAGTCTGTTTGGGCAAAAATCTTTATGCACACATGCTTGCAATTGATCTTACATGAAAGGGAATCCTTCAGACTGGGGATATGAAAAGCCCAGTTATGACACTATTATGATGCTAGTCATATGGCATTTCCAGCTACAGTTTTGTTCCGTGGGGGAGTCTCTCTGCCAAACACCTCATTGGCACTTTCAGAGACAAAAGAGTTTCCACATAGCTGAAGGTTTAACTGTGTCCTTGGCAAGAGTGCTTAGTGACTTTAATTCAGGGAGTAACAGGTACACATACACAGATACTCAGATGCTGTAGCAATTGAGGATTTTACCTAAACACTGGCCTTCTAACAGCCAGTAGCCTTCAGTGCAGGAACAGGTATAGCCCCCTTCAGTATTTATGCAGATCTGGGTGGGGTTACACTGGTGAGAATCTGAAGCGCATTCATCCACATCTGCAACACAGAAATACAGAAGGAAAATGTTAGAAATAGCAACAACAAAAGATTGTTTCTATTGTACAGTGTGTACATTGCCTCTGTGCAAGGAATCAGAGTTTGGAGGAGTAGAGAGAATGACCATAACCTGAAGGAAAATCACGCAAATAAATGTCTGAGGGCATTTATTATGAGAATGCACATGAAATCTCTCAGTTTTGCAGGTGACCCAGTGTTTCTGGTTTTCTCCTCAAGGAAAGTCTCTCATTATCTCAAACTTTTTGTTTGAGATTTCCACATTTGCTGTCACTGAGCTGGGATTTCCATGCTGTAGAGCAGTGCTCAGTCCTAGGGAGAGGCTGCTGAAAGGGTTGTGCATTGTCGGGTTCGGCTGTCTGTCTCTGCTCTGACACGGGTAGAGTGGTTCTTGGGTGGCACGCGATGCAAAGGACGAGTCTGGACTCTTCAGCTTTTCGGTCTTCAGGTTGTTTATTATTTCTTATCTACAAAATTTTTTTGTCTGCCTAACAGAGGTCTGATCTGCAAGCAGTCACAGGCACTCTCTGACTACTCACGGGGCGGTCATGTCTTTTTATACTAAAATCTACATATACAATATTTACTTTTATTTCTCAATGCTTTTCACTCATGTTAGCAAGTGCACTTTCACTATAAACCAATCTCCAAGTGCTAACATCATCACAGGAGATGGAGGACAAGAAGAAGAAAGAAGAAGGACAAGACACGCCCTGATCTTTCTATCTTGTCTCCATAACTTTCCTGTACCAAAAACCTTAAAGTCTATATCTCACTCTCTAAATGTGTCTCTTTTACACCTTTTACTCTAAAGTGATTCTCTTGTCTTCAAACTCTTGTTACTTCTGTAGATGGATCAAAATCAAGCCACCAAACACTCTTGGCAACATTCCAAGATTTTCGAGACCCTCAAGGGTTCTCTTGGCATCTCTGGACATCGGGAACGATGTGCTGAGATGCCACAGTGCATCCTCATTGAAAAGTAAGAGATGAAGGGGAGTTTGAGAGATGTACAAACACAACTCAGAGACATTAAAAAAAAAATACTTCCTACCCCCACCAATGCAGACCATCTCACTGTAATTTTTCAGACACAAAGTTCAACCAAAAATCAACCTTTACCTGACCAAAAAAATGTATACTTCCCTGGAATCAATTTCCTGACAATAGTACTATTTTCTTTTAATTTCCACCCCGCCACCTCGCCATCTTTACTGGGTTGAATGTATTTGGGTTTTTATTGCAATCCCTTAGGGTGTTTTTGTTGTGGGCTTTATTTTTTCCCCCTTTTTTTTTTGCAAGGGAGGTGAATAGCATTCTTACATTTATATAAGCCAGGACCCTGGAACCCAACTGATTAAAAATGCCTTTCAGAGTCAGAAATTCATTTTGAATCACGCCTTGCTCAATATCTTTCCTGATGTTTCAGGCATCAGGTTTGCCTCTAGATGTCAGAAATAGAAATGCCAAAAGATAAATTGTGTCATTTCCCCAGCCAACCTAAATTTTTATGTTTTATTTATTGATACCTAAACTATTTTTCATTCCAGCATATTATGCTTTGCTGAAGCACTATGTCATCCTAGCAATGCTACTCCCTTGATCCTCCCCTGATTCTTATTAACCCAGACTTCGTTAGGTCATGACTGAAAGTGTCTCACCAATGCCCTGGGCTGGAGCAGGCAGCAGAGGGCAGGAATTCCATCTCTGTACCTGCCCCAAGGCAGCAAGCACAGCCAGTCAGCTGTACAACCCTAGCAGTCATGAAATAACTGATCCAGGCTGCCACAGCAGCATATCTAACATGCTCAGATACATAAATAAATACAAACATATTGTACATATGGAGGGAGTCTAGGGTTCTTATCTTGCCAACATCTGTATCAGAGCAATTTATGGTGAGTCAAAACTGGTAAGATAACAAGAGGGGCACAATTAGAGGTAATTAACTCTGTCAGAATTCGGTTCCCATGTATTTATTGGCCAGATGAAGATTGGCAAAATGGTGGGGGAAGTGGGAAAAGGGTAAAATAACAAGTCTAGACTATATAGGTCCATAAATATGTTGTTCAGTTCAGCTATTGCTTCTGCGATTGAGCTAAAAAATTTGGATCCTCCCTTCATAGCATATCACACATAATTGGTAGTATCTGAACAGAGATTTTATCTGACCATAAATTTAATAACAATGACATTAATGTTTTCTAAATGAAAAAGCTTTCTATTTGTCATGCTTGCTTATTGTTTTAGGAGTGGTACCTTGGGATCTGGCCAATTCTGCTTTTTCTAGTCTGCACTAAGCTTAAAAAGGAGATTTTAATTTTCCATGTTCCCTGCTTCCAGTAATATTAATAGGTGAAGCAAAGTGAAAACAAAATGAGGGTCATGGTCTCACCACATATGGTAGCAAGACAGTTTGAAGACAACAGATCCTCCACTCTTTTGTGAGGCATATTTCTTGCAGGGATACAACGTCTTTCACTTAAGCAACAGGTGGCTATGGGATTGGTTTTGTTCCCAAATCATCCTTGTAGCCACTGCTTGAGCTCCATTCCAGAGAAGTAAAACGTTGATCCTCTTTCACTTGCTTTATAACAATCAGATTTATTTGCTTACTCCCAGTCCTCACCTTTTGTGGTAGTATTTGGAAGCATATTTCCATTTGAACACAACATTTTTTACAATGGAGGCCTCCTGTGGAGTTTCTGCCAGAAAACCTGATGATCCTGAAGCTGTCTATGCAGAACACCTTGACTCCTCACATTTGCACTGAACAGTACCTTAGTGACTTCACTAAAGAAGATTTATGCAACCAACAGGTGTAAACAGCTTTACTGGTAGCAGCAAATCTTTTTGCTTGGGCCTGAGGGAGCACACCCAGTTCCGTATTTCATGTCTGGCATTCTCTAAGATTGCCCCTTACCATGAGGTGCCATTAAACTCTTACTGACACAGCCAATACAATCAAATAAAGTATTTTTGGCCAGCAGCCTTCACAGCTGAAAACAGGTAGTATAATCCCAGGCTGTCTGCCCTGGATTAATCCACATTATATGGGCTCACAGAGAGCAGATATTTGTGCACTGAAAAAACTATTGGTGCAACAGTTGGCCAGACATTAGGTATCTTCTTAAAGGATATCAGACCTGGGAGACATAGGGTGTCATGCCCATTTGCACAGTGCAGCATACAGTAAGAGCAGATGTGGTTGGTAAAGTCAAAACCAGACATTTGGCAGGAAAAACAAAAAACAAAACAAAACAAAACAAACCCCAAACAATCCCAAATTATTTCCACTGAGGAGAAAACTAGCCATAAAACTTCAAGAGATTGCCTATAATGGATAGACATAGAAGTTACATCAAAACAGTTCCAGAGCATTTTTGTTTGAATGGAAAATTGCAAGAGGTTGCAAGTGGAACATGACAATCCATCAATAAGGCATGAATAATTTCTCTGTCTGGTTGCACAGCTTATTTCTGTCCCATTCAAGCATAAATCTTAGGTGTCTTCATGGTCTGGGACTTCAAAGCCCATTTGTACTACTTCTGCCTCTCTGATGGGTCATACACAATACCTGAGCAATCTAATTGCACATGATTATAGATTTTCAATAGTTTTGTATGTTCAAAGCAGATAAGACAAATTCAGAGAATAAAAAACTGTAAGATCTACTCAATGTAAGGATAGCACAAATGGCTAAGAAATCCCTGAGGTGCATTTTCCTGATGTTTGGAAGAGTATGTCTGACAAGCACAACTTATGTCACAGTTCACCATGGACAGAAATACTGCAGTGAGTTGTCACCTGAGCCCCAAGGTAAAGTCTAATCAGATGGAGAGCAGAAGAATTGCCATGAGGTGGACTGGGAAGAAAATACAAATTAGATCTCTCCTCAGTGAAGATAGATTAAAGTACCTAGTGGTTACTGTGCAGGACAAGGAGCCAGCACAGATACACTGACCACACTGTAGCTCATGGGCTGAGAATTTATCTTTTGGGAACTCTTCCTTCCTTTTCATCTTCCATCACCCTGCTTCCTATTTGAAAAGCAGGGATTACAAAATCCATGAAAATACATTACCTCAGCTATAGTCCGGTCTCCCTCACTGTTTAGCACCTAAAACTCTTCAGGATAGGGCATTTAACAAAACAGAAACAGGAGCAGATGACAGACCTTTCTGTCTTGTAGTCTCTCATGTACAACCTGCACCTATTATTATGAACATTTCAAGATACCACTTTTTCAGAAATTTTGTGCAGACTCTACATTGGCTAGTGAGATCTAAAATAAAAGATTAACCATGATTGTTTTCTACTAGAGGACCTTGGAAGCATCAAAGTGTCTTTCAGCTAAATTCTATGCAATGTTGCTGTTCCACCCTAATGTTGCATGGAACCTCAAAGATTCCAGTAGTTACTGAAGCAGGAAGAGAATTATTGATGTAGTCTATGGCAAGTTAAAAGAGTAATCTGGCTTTCATACCTCTTCCTACCCTGACAGACAGGACTGTGAGTGTTGCTGTGAAATTACATATGAAAAAAGTGAGGATGTTAAAGGTTGCCATACCTAATAATTTTGAACAAATTCAGATTTTTCCAAATGACTAGTGGCTCTGGGTGACTCCTTTGAGAGAGCAGTTGTTCAGCACTTTGTAAGCACACTAGAGAACCAAGGCAGGATAGATGGATCACTGTTCAAAACTTCTCTTGCCAAGGAATGCTTGGCCAAAGCTGGTTCTAGTTGTTTCAGCTCTTGAGTATCCTGCTGTGTGCTATTAAATCAGTGGTCATCTATATTCTCTCACCCATCCTTCCAGTTGTTGTATTCACTTCTTTTATCCATCTTTCACATTACTGCTCCCACAGCTAATTCCTAAGGCAGAAGTTTGGGCAGGACTCCAGACAAATTAAAATCTGACTTGAAGTGGGAACAATTTACTTTGTTAGTTCCCAGATGAATACTGAGAGCAACCACATGG